ATAAAAATCATGAGTTATATAGCTCTTGAAAACTATGAATTTTAAAGTATGCTAATTGTTTTCCATCATCTCGAAGAAGATGAAAATGAATAAAAATTATAGGTTAGTTCGTGGAAATATCGACTTTAAAGGAATGAAAACTTAATTGCTTTGGGGAATGTAAGTTTTGAGGAAAGTAAACTTAATTGGTATTGGGCTAAAACGACCGAAAAATGGATAAAAATCATGTGTTATAGCCCATGAAATTGTGAAGTTTGAAGTACGTCATTTGTTTTCCATGGGGTCGAAAAGGTGAAAATGGATTAAAATTGAAGGTTACAGTTCGTGAAAATTTCTTGTTTTAAGGAATGAAAACGTAATGTCCTTTGGAAAATGTAAATTTTAAGGAAAGAAAACTTAATTGTCATTGGATTGAAACAGTTACAGTTGGATAATTTTGTGAGTTATAGCCTATGAAAATTGTTAGTTATACGGAAAGAAAATTTTATTGTCATAGAGTCGAAACAGATGAAAATGGATAAAAGTTGTAGCTTAGCTCATGAAAATCATGAATTTTGAAGTTCACCTATTAATTGCTAACGAGTCAAAATCGATGAAAATGTACAAAATTATGAGTTATAGTCCATAAAAAGGCACAATTTTTATCGATTTTCTTTCATTTTGACCATATGCTAATGCATACATTAAATTCATGATTTTTATAAGCTTGTAACTAACGATTTTCTCTAATTTCATTGATTTTGACTCAAATATTATTACTTGTGCATACTTAAAATCTAACAATTTTCTTTGGTTAAAACCACTGATTTTCATTCCTTTTGATGAAATGAATTAAGTGTGGGTGTTTCAAAAGTTTGCGAATTTCATGGGTCATAACGTGCTATTTTTGTCCATTTTTCTTTCATTATCATTCCAACAACTATTAAGTTTTCATACACCAAAATTAGCGATTTTCTTAGGCTATAGCCAAAGACTTTATCAATCCTCATTTGCTTTGATCATTTTAGCAATTAAGCAAGAGAACTTCAAATTTTGAAATTTCATGTGCGAAAAACCCAAGATGTTTGTTCGTTTAGATCCAATGATAGTTAAGTAAGATACTTGAAAATTCACGATTTTCAGAGGATTATAATATTTGTTCATTTTTTCCCGTTTAATCCAATGACATGTAAGTATGGATACTCCAAAATTCATAACTTAGTAGGGGTAAACTTGCTATTTTTTGTTTATTTTCGTTCATTTCGACCGAATGGCAATCGAATATTCATACTTCACATTCACGATTTCCAGACTTTAACATGTTTTTTTTTTATCCAATGACATTTGATAATGTTTATTTCAAAATTTCAAGGTTTTCATATGCTACAACCTACAATTTTTATCAATTTTTATTTATTTTGACCCAATGACAATTAACTATGATACTTATAAAATTCACAATTTTCATGGGATATAACTCACTATTTTGTTCACTTTTGTTCTTTTTAATCCAATGACATTTAAGTATATGTATTTCAAAATTTCACGATTTTCATGGGCAATGCATGATTTTTATCATTTTTTATTCATTTCTACCGAGGCACAATTAAGTATGATACTTCAAAATTAACAATTATCATGGGCTATAACTCAGGATTTTTATCTATTTTTGCTCTTTTCGATCCATTGACAATTTAAATTTCATGATTTCTTACTTAAAAATTCGTGATTTTCATGGGTTATAAGCCACGATTATTGTTCATTTTTGTTTTTTCCATCTAATTGGAAGTAAGTATGTGTACTTTTAAATCCCACATTTTTTATGGGTTAATCTCACAGCTTTTGTCCATTGTAATTCATTTCAATATGATAGCAATTAAGTATATACATCAAAATTTCACGATTTTTATCAGATATAAACCCACGATTTTTTATCGATTTTTGTTTATTTCGACTTAGATTACCCAGACACTCCACCTTGACGATTTTTATCGGATATAAACCCACGATTTTTTTATCGATTTTTGTTTATTTCGACTTAGATTACCCAGGCACTCCACCTTGACTCCCGTATTCGTGTCCACACTTCTTGGACACTTTTTGAGTATATACATACATTTATGTAGATGTGTACCGAATTAGACAACACATGTTTTAGTTTAAAACGCTCGTGGTACACTTCTGGGATGTATATGTTACCCGCCACATCAAATTTTTACAACTTATTGGACTCAGTTCGGGTTCATTTCAGCCCATATCATGTTCATAAGTATGATTTTAAATGATGATTTGAATATCTTGTCCAAAAGTAAGCAGATTTCCAATTTATAATCTACTCAACAAAAGAGACATAAAAAAGCCACATGGTATTTAGTTCTCATAATATCTAATAAAAAACAATGTCGATCTCATATATATTATTAATTTCAAAAATTATATATATAGCCGTGTCCCCATATCCTAAATTTTACAAATTTGCCATGTCCCGTATCCGCACGTGTGTTCGCACCCCCACCGTACCCGTACAACATAGATTTCATCCCAAGGTAATTTAGTATGCATACTTCAAAATTCATGATTTTAAAATATTCGGATAGTAAATTTAACAAAAATTAAATGTTAAATTTCCTAAAATTAGTGTGTTAGTTCGTATGAGAATTTTCGAGGGGAAGTTCTAGTGTTTGCATACCTACAGGTATTTAAGTGTAAATTTAAAAAACTTTGGGGGTATATAGGTGCTGCCAAAAACATGTAAAGGGTATAAAAGTACAATGTAGGGGAAAGTATAGGGCATTTAAGTGCAATTAAGCCAATTTTAATTCTCGTAACATGTTAATGAAAAACAATATTGATCCCATGTAAACTATTAGTTTCAACACATATATATAGTCTTGTTCTCGTACAGTTGTACCCTATATTTTACAAATTTGCCGTGTCTTGTGCACGAATCTCCACGTACATATCAGTACCCATTCCCGTGCAACGTTGATGGTACATTGTCAACATGGATAGAATAGATTCTCAGTCTAGTGTTTTTATTGTTGAATTTAAATTGGGATGTTAACTTTTAAAACCTTTGTCGGAAAAATACTTTCGCTTATCTTCATAACTGGTGATGCCCATCAATTCATACCTAGTTGAATGAGCTCAGAATTTTGATAATTTGCAAAGGTATGATCCTTTGATCCTTATTTAGATACCAAATACACGCGTTATAAAGACAACATGAAAGATCAAAACTCACCCGCACAGTAAAATCTCTGTTTCACCCAAACTCAGTCTATACAAGAGAGATTGAGGGAGATGGCACTATGATAAGAAGGGAGTACAAGAGAGCAACCACACTGGCACACCCTAATCCTTTTTTTTTCTGACACAAATACAACACTAGGAATGTCTAACAACTAAGAATTTCTAACAGCCATTCAAGAAATCTTTATAACGATGAAATGACAATTTCTTCCTTGGCAAAATGACCACCCCTTAATGCAGTGAGCCTTAAAGAGATCCTACGTCTTTACTTGTGCCCCTTCTCTCGTTGAAGAGATCCACATCATTCTCTTCAAAAGACTTTGTTAGTTATGATTTCTTTTACTATATCTTTTAACCCTAATTAACCTAGAGAAAGTCACTCAATCATGATCCTTAATAGGATAACTTACAATCTTAGACTTAAACTTTGGTTTTATATTCTCTATTTGAATTGTTAACTCTTTGACCTAATTTGACTTTCCCTTTTGGCGTCAAAACATGGCATATGCATAATAATCTATATGTGGACTTGTATTCTAATTCTTTGGAAATTCTTCATCATGTCTTTCTTTATTGCTGTTTATTTCTTATCTATTTCTCATGTTTCCTACCTCTATGATGCATCACCTAAATGACTCGCTTTTTATATGAATGTGAACCGACCATGAACCATGCATGACATGACTCCATCTTAAAGCGGAAACTTGCATCATCGGTGGATTAGCCTAGTCATAATCTTCTCTCACACAAATGTCTTGAAGAAATGCCATTTTTGAACCATGAAGTTGCAACTTTTGCAAGCACCGTTCTCGTCACTCTATTCTTGTACTGCCTTACCCTTAGATGAGGTGCATCTCTCTCGCCTTGATCTACAAAATACTCTTCTTAGATCTCTCTATTCAGTCGTTTACTCTTTTTTCCCCTTCCTTCAACCATAGAGTGTACAGCCTTCTCTTCAAGAAATCATGTCGGTTATAAGACCTTTTATAATCTTTGTTAACCCTAGCTAGTGCTTGAGAAATCGCACAAAAATGGCCCTTGATTTAGCATGAAAGAGATTCAAATATAGCTCTATCTTATAATATTACTGGTTTCAACTGTTAGTAAATAAAAATATAACCCCCAACCCTCACGACTTTAGAGTTTTTTGAGTACTGGTCAGGGACTTATGATGGTTGGTTATCACCTATGTCGCTGTGACAGACTGACAGTTATTGGTCACTTATCGGTCCAGTCACAAGACTGAACCTGAAATGTCTTTACCGCAATTTCAACAAGTTAACCAAAAATGGCATTAACTTCTCTGAAAGCAAAAGGTTCCTGCATAATTTCGTGATCAAATCATCAATTTCACATCCCTGTTAGAGTATTACGTTTTTTTTTTCTAGAATCTACCCGACACATCATTTCACATCCTCATTAGCGGGCTGAATCTAAGTTAACATTTATTTCTTCAATTATTAAAAGACTGTTCTTATCTCACCTAGATTCATGGATGGTCCAAATAACTCCCCAGTTTGCAGATATTTCTTCTTTATATGCAACTAACAAGCAATAATTCACCGCCTCAACTACTATGATGTACTATCTTCGGGATGCTTGGGTGTGCCAGTGGGCTTCAACTGCTTGAAGCATAAAACCTCCTGTTGTTCATACACAATGACTGTCTAACTACTCACAATTAATGAAATTATGTCGATTAAACTAGTGCCACTTGTCCCTTCTTCTCAAATGCATGCTGATTAGTTTCTACTATGCATGGATTACAGTTGAAAAACACCCACGAAACGCATCAGAGCCTGCTACATCAACTGGTCAGTAGATGTGTATGCTATACCTTTTTGTTCTTACTTTTGACCCGGTATGAGAATAAGATTAATGGCGCATAGATCCTCTGCAGAATCGCTGTTTTGAACTTACTACCCCAGCAGTCTTATTGTTGTGGGTAGACCCCCTGGGTCAAATTTTCGACTCGTTTACCCTCAGGACTCGCTAATTTCACCCTGAGAAAAAGAGTCCAAAAAATTTAGCCCGACAGGTCTATCCGCAACAGTAAAACTGAATTTAGCCCGACAGGTCTATCCGCAGCAGTAAAACTGCAGAGGTAGTAGTAACTTCAAAACAAAGATAGCGCAGGGGGTCCATGTGCAATGTAACCTATAAGGGTATCAATCAAATTTTGCACACGATACAGGAGATGAAAGATCAGCACCAAGGTTACAGGTTTGTAGCTGAACGTGCTCTTTCAACCGCAAACGACGCTACTCAAATGTTTGCGTATCAAGTTCACTCAAGCCAGCAAAACCTCCTGGAGCTCGGATACGGGTCCCGTGATCTGAGTATTGCTTAATATACAATACGCGTACGAGTGCTCATGGGCGTCAAAAGCTTGAGTATTGTCTTTATAACTTTTCATACAAGAAATCGCTATTCTTGTATCAATCAATTACTTCACATCCAGTCAGTTGAGCTGTCATGTGTGTATAAAAAAAAATTTGAACAAGGTGGTGCCTTTTCAGGGACAATATTATTTACATATTTGATTTAGGTGGCGGGTCATTTCTGCCATCTAAATAATTGTCTTGGACTATTTGCGCCTCTCTCTTTTATAATGATGCGTGCCTGTAACCATTTGGTTTCCCGAATTATGCAAACTCTTGCTTTCAACTTGATGAACGATGCTTGGACCTCGACACTTGGCGAAGTATAGTTTGGATCTGTCTACAGTTATAATTGATTATAATAAATTTTCAATGTACTTATAGCTGCCTTATTGGATTTTGAACCAGATCAATTTATATCAATTTTATTGCTTCTATGATGTTGTACCTTGTTCTAGCAAGAAAAATTCCTCAAGGAGCCAAAATATGGGACCAATAGAGGGGACAAATGAGGTTTCTCCCTTCTATTGGATAATGAGTTGATCATCATTAATGATGGCCAACTCCTTATCCAATAGGAGGGAGACACCTCACTTGTCCTCTCTATTGGTCCCATATTTTTGGTCCCTGTAGCAAAGCTCTTCTAGCAAATATAGTGGTGGGGGTCTAGGCTTAGCGTAGCCATCAGCGGCCCTCGCCGCGTGTCGGCTATGAATTCTCAATGTATGCAAGCTAACTAAACAAGAATTGCCTCTTTTCTGACTTGAGAGGCGTTCCTTACTTGAAACTTTCATAATTAAAAAAAAAAGAAGATAAAACAACGAAGCCCCCTTAAAAGTATGATTGGCTCCCAACTCACTCTTTAAAGTTGTCAATTTGTCCATTCCCCCCCCCCCCCCCCGCCCCCCCCCCTACCTATATTATGCTTTCTTGCTAATCTGGTCCTTTTGTGAAGCCATGGTCATATACTTGAGGAAATGATGATGTGGCATATCGGTTTTTTTTTGGGTTTTTTTCCTTAGATTTACAATCAACTTCACAAATTATAAATGACACCATAAAAAATTGGAAATTACAAAAAAAAAACTTTATAAACAACCCCTTGAAAATATGATATTTGCAAACCTTGAAAACTCTAAAATTTAAATAATTACCCTAAAAATTCAAAATTACAAAAAATACTCCAAAAATTTCAAAAAAAAAAGCCCCAAGGAAAAGTGCAAAAGACCATGAAAAATTTTAGGGCTCCTTGTACTTTTCTAAAAATTGCATGGTGTTTTGTGCAAATTTTGAATTTTTAGCTCCCATTTGTAATTTTTGAATTTTCAAAGGGTTGTTTACAAATTTTTATTCCAATGTGTTTTTGTAATTTCAAACTTTTGGATGCTTTTTGCGAATGTTGAATTTTTTAGTAGTCATTTGTACTTTCATATTTTTATGGGGCTATTAATAATTTCAAAATTTTTATGATGTTTTTGTAATTTTCAAATTTGTTTCAATATGTTTTTTATTAGTTCTAAACTTTTTAGGGTGTTGTTTAAAAATTTTGAAATTTCTGTTAAGTATTTGATGGTGGTTTCACAAAAGAACCACATTGGACAATAAGGTATAATGTAAGGGGGAAAATAGGTAAAGTGATACATTTGGAACCAAGTTGAAAGTTTAACAATACTGTGTAAGGGGGTGTTTGTTGTTGGTCTTGAGAGTGGAGACCCAAACCTAGAATCAAAATCAACAATCGTATAAAAATTCAAGACAGGCCATGGGTGTGGTCTGCGCCACACCAGGGTGTGACAGAGTCTGCCCTGTCTGCCATGGGTGTGGTCTGTCAAGATGGCAGAAGCCAGAAGAAAGAAAATCAGAACAGGAATCGGTCGAAATAAGTGAAGAAGAGGTCGAACTCGAAGGTTAGGCCTATCAAAGGGAAGTGTTGGAACTGCGACCAGGAGGGTCGTATGTCTTCGGTCTGCAAAAGTCCAAAAAAGGATGCGGGTGAGCAAGAGGCTCATATCGTGCAGGATGCCTTGATCCTTGCTATGGACAGTGATTCGGATTCTTAGGTCATCAATTCAGGAGCCTCTTTCCACACCACTGCTAACATGAAGCTCTTTCAGAATTATGTAGCAGGGGACTTTGGAAAAGTATATTTGGGGAATAACGAGCCCTTAATATTGTTGGAAAGGGTGAAGTACAGATTCAGATAAATGGCTCTAAGTGGACCTTGAAGAACGTGAGACACGTGCCGAAGCTGAAGAGGAATCTTATTTCGGTGGGACAGCTTGGAGCAGAAGGCTATGTTTCGACATTCACAGGGGATTCATGGAGAATCTCCAACGGTACGATGATAGTTGCTCGAGGCAACAAGCTAGGAACTCTCTACCTCATCTTACACGCGAGTGACACCCTCGCAATTGCAGCTGACAAAGAGAGTACAGATTTGTGGCATAATAGGCTAGGACACATGAGCGAAAAGAGGATGAAGATTTTGCATTCACAAGGAAAGCTAACCGGGATCGACGCCGTGGAAGTCGGGATTTGTGAATACTACATCTTTGGGAAGCAGAAGAGGGTTAGTTTTCAGAAGGGTGTAAGACCACCTAAGGCTTAGAAGTTAGAGTTGATTCATACAGATGTATGGGGCCCAGTCAGTGTATCATCTTTTGACAGTTCGAGATATTATGTCACCTTCATCGACGATCACTCGAGGAAGGTGTGGATCTACTTCATGAAACACAAGTCAGAGGTGTTTGGAATCTTCAAGAAGTGGAAGACCATGATGGAGAACGAGACAGATCTAAAGGTGAAATATCCGAGATCAGACAATGGTGGAGAATACGAGCTGGAGGAGTTCAAGAGGTTCTGTGCTACGAATGGTATTCGCTTAGAGAGGACTATTCCAGGGACGTCGCAGCAGAACAACATTGCGAAAAGGATGAACATGACCTTGATAGAGCGTGCCAGGAGCATGTGATTACATGCAGGTCTGCCTAAGACATTTTGGGCGGATGCGGTACATACAGAAGCTTACCTTATTAATCACGGACCATCAGATCTATTGGATTTTAGGATTCCAGAGGAGGTTTGGAGTGGAAAGAAGATAAATCTCTCACACTTGCGGGTATTTGGTTGTGTGGCTTATGTTCATATCAGTGACCATGTCAGAGACAAGCTAGAAGCTAAGTCACAGAAGTGTACATTCATCGGATACGACATTGATGAGTTCGGGTATCGCCTTTGGGATGAGAAAAATAGGAAGATCATCAGAAGCAGGGACGTGATATTCAATGAGGATGTGATGTACAAGAAAAGGAAAAATGCCAAGGATAGCCAAAGCAGTGGGAGCAGCACTACGGATACAGGTGGATCGGAGTACATGCATTTAGAGGAACTTCCAGATAGGGGTGATGATGTTTGTTCTGATCAGAGAATAGAGAAGGCTCCAGGTGCAGAAGAAACTACCCAGGGCGTGGAGCTTAGGAGGTCATCCAGGGTACCCAAACCAAATCCCAGATATCTTTCATCTCTTGACTACCTATTGTTGACAGATAACGGTGAGTCGGAGTGCTATGAAGAGGTAATGCAAGTGAGTGAATCTCAGCAGTGGGAGCATGCTATGCAGGAGGAGATGGATTCTCTACTCACTAATGAGACATGGGAGTTAGCCCAGCTACCTGCACAGAAGAAAGCCTTACATAACAAATGGGTTTACCGGGTCAAGCAGGAGAGTGATGGAAGCAAGAGATTCAATGTCAGATTAGTAGTGAAGGGGTTTCAACAGCGGGAAGGAGTGGACTACACGGAGATATTTTCCCCTGTTGTGAAACTCACAACCATCAGAGTGGTATTGAGTTTGGTAGCTGCAGAAGACCTCTTTCTTGAGCAGTTAGATGTGAAGACTGCCTTTCTTCATGGTGACTTGGATGAAGAAATCTACATGAAGCAGCCTGTTGGCTTCATTGAAGAAGGAAAGGAAGAGATAATGTGCAAGCTCAAGAAGAGCTTATATGGTTTAAAACAGGCTCCGAGACAGTGGTATAAGAAGTTTGATAACTTCATGCAGAATAATGGCTACAGAAGATGCAATTCGGATCATTACTGTTATTTCAAAATGTTCGAGTCCAGCTTCATTATTTTGTTATTATATGTTAATGACATGTTGGTAGCAGGACCATGTTTAGAGGAGATAAACAGTTTGAAAAAGCAGCTAGTAAAGGAGTTTGCAATGAAGGATCTAAGTGCAGCGAAGCAAATTCTAGGGATGCGAATCAGTAGGGATGAAGCTGAAGGGACATTGAGATTGAGCCAAGCTGAATACATTAAGAAGGTACTTCAGAGGTTCAACATGCATAATGCTAAAGTTGTTAGCACACCCCTTGGAAGTCAGTTCAAGATATCTGAGGAGCAATCGCCTAAGACAGATGCAGATAGAGAGCATATGAGCAGGGTGCCATATTCTTCGGTCATTGGGAGCTCATGTACGTGATGGTTTGCACGAGGCCGGACATCGCCCATGCAGTGGGAGTTGTGAGCAGATTTACAAGCAATCCAGGGAAGCAGCATTGGGAGGCCGTGAAGTGGATAATGCAGTACTTGAGAGGGATAACAAACAAGCCATTATGTTTCAGGAGGAAGGAGTTGGTGCTGCAGGGATACGTGGATGCGTACTTTGCCGGTGATCATGATACGAGACGAAGCACCACAGGGTATATTTATACCTTAGCGTCGACAGCAGTGAGCTGGATCTCACGTCTGCAGAAGATTGTGACTTTGTCTACAACCGAGGCTGAGTATGTCGCGGTGACTGAAGCAAGCAAGGAGATGATCTGGTTGAACGTGTGCTTGGAAGAGTTGGATCTGAAGCAAGGGAGAGGAGTTCTTTATTGTGATAGCCAGAACGCTATACATCTTGCCAAGAATCCAGTATATCATGCCAGAACGAAGCACATCGACGTCAAATACCATTTTATACGCTCGCTAGTTGAAGACGGAAAGTTGCATTTGATAAAGATTTTGGGGAGTTAAAATCTGGCGGACATGTTGACGAAGGCAGTCACCATTGAGAAACTAGAGTTGTGTGCAACTTCAGTTGGCCTTCACGAGTAGAAGACTAAGGCGGAGCCACAATATGAGGATCAGCGAGATCGTCGGGATGTTGATGATTGAAGAATTGATTTTTCAAGTAGGAGAAGATACTTGCGAAGAAGGCGGAGTTCGGGAGAGCTTATTAATGGTGGTTTGATCTCCAAGTGGGAGATTGTTGGTCTTGAGAGTGGAGACCCAAACCTAGAATC